TTAATTACAGAATAATTTTTGATCAATGATTTATTAATGAAATTTACGAAATTGGTCTATAATAGAATACGACTATAAATAAAATATGAAGAATTTGGTTGCTACTTATATGTCCGGAAATTTACATTATACTTATACCAAATTAGTCATAGCAATTTTTTTTCATCATTTAAATTGTCATAATTCATAATTGTGATTAAAAATAAAAATACTTTTTATTTGTATCGAGCAATCACTTCTTTGTCATAAAGCTTCTCCGTCCTTCTAGCAGATTATTACAAGGCGTCGGCAGGCTCCGGTCCGCGGAAAGCTAGACGCTGGTTTATTTACAAACATAAAATATAAATTAAACTTAAAGGCCGCGTCTTTTTAACGACCCCAGACCAGCCAGCGATCTGATCGCATCTGGAAAAAAATGAAAAACGTAAAGTTATTAAATATTTCTCGCCGAGATTTACGTGGTATTTTGGCACAACGTGATCCGGTCCCCGTCGGTTATTATCGAGCCAAGCGGAGACTTTTTTTTCTTGGGGGGGTCAAAAAGCATAAACTGGGATGAAGGGAGGCACTTAATATTTCGGACAAAGGGAGGCAGGATGTCAGGCACCCCTCTGTGCACGCGCCTGGTTGCTTGGCGTGAAAAGTTGCTGGCTGGGGGGGGGGGGGTTACTGGGTTAAAAGAACAAAAAGTCCACAGTGCCTTTACAAGGAAACACTTTTCAATATTTTGGGCAAAAGGGGGGCAGGAGATGAAACAGCTGTGTTATAAACGCGCCCCGTCACATATTCACTAACCAGGCACCCAGTTTGACTGTTTTCATTTGATTTATTTTTTAATAGCTGTGAATGTGAAGCTTATATCATGTGTCATGAGTATGTATGAGTGTGACACTGAACTGCAGTGACTTACAGTGACTGTCCTGCGCTTCCAGACAGTGACGTCAGGCTGGTGGGTGGCGGCGGTCCCTGTGCTGGGAGAGTGGAGGTTCTTCATCAAGGACAGTGGGGCACAGTGTGTGATTATAACTGGGGTGTCGAGGATGCTGCAGTGGTGTGTAGGCAGACGTTCTGTGGAGATGCTGTAGCCCCAACAGGGAATGCTAACTTTGGAGAAGGAACAGGGAGCATCTGGATGGGTGGTGTGTCCTGTAGAGGGTCAGAGTCGACACTGAAGGACTGTGGACGCGAAGAATGGATACTTCAGCACTGTCGTCATTCCTGGGATGCTGGAGTCGTCTGCTCAGGTAGGACACATGTACTGATCAGTAAACATGCTGCACAAAGTCAGTTTGCTCACTTTTAAACAAGAAACAAAAATGAAAAAGTTTCTCAGAGAAGCTGTTAATAGTGCAGCTCTGTGTGTTACTTTGAATGTCAGTTTAGAATGACTCAGTGGGTCTTAGTTTTATATTTATTTATGTTCATAAATTATAATGTTATAATTTGTGAGATTATGTGCAGAGGAGAAATCACCATTAGAGGCTTTATAGAGTTATTTATCACACAGGCTAGTTTTATATTCTATTGTGTACATTTATTAAACTTTTATTAAGAAAAAATTATATCATAATTTTTGACCCACTAAATAAATTAAATCTTCTGCCTTCTAACTAATTGCTTATCCTGGTGAAGCTGGCGGGGGCTTGGAGCCGATCCCAGGCAGCACAGGGCACAAGG